AAGCTTAAGGCAGATGATGTAATATTTTTTTTTTTTTTTTTTTTTTTTTTTTTAAAAATAAGCATTAAAGCAGAACTGATTATATTTCTAGAATATAGCATATTTTCTCTCCATCTAATTAAAGGTATTTCATGGCAATATATTTGAATAAAACCTTTTCCATTTGACAATCTAACAATTTTTTTTTTTTTTTTTAATTTTTTGTTTATTGCAGTAACATTGGTTTATAACATTGTAAAAATTTCAGGTGTACATCATTGTACTTCTATTTCTGCATGGACTACATCATGTTCACCACCAAAATACTAATTACAACCCATCACCACACACATGTAATGTAATATTGACAGGTCACGTAAAACAGGACTTCGCAGGGACTATTTTCCCTTCTCTCTAGGAGCAGAATTTACTGACCGATAATTGAGCTTTAGTTTCGAAAAGGAAAAAAATCCAGATAATTAAAGCAGAGAAATGTGAGGAGACTGTAAGTAGACAACTGAAACAAGTTTTGAGGCCTAAACAAAGATAGTTTTCAGGGTATTGAAATTTGAAAAAATGTGATCACTGAATACAATTCAAGAAAATATGGAAAATGAGAGGAACTTGAATGCTGGAAAGATAAATACTCCCCAAAGCTGAAAAATTTATATTCTAAACTTGATGGCACACTTGTAGGTTCCAAAACAGATTATTTCCTGTTTAAACTGTTGGATCCAGAGGGCGATTTGGGTCCCAGTGTAGCTGCAGATTTTGTCAGATAGTTGATAAGGTGTTCCTGTATTTTGGTATCCAGGCTAGAGAAATGTGTCCACTATGAAACTAGTTAGCAGTTAGTTGAATCCTTGATTCATAGAATAGTCATCCCTAAAGAATGTCAACTGATGGATTATCATCAGTCTGAAGGGATACGTCTAGTAGAAAACAACCAGGAAAAAAATTTAAATCGTTCACTGATGTCTAAACAAGCAGTTGTGAAAGTATGAAATTGGATGCTTGGCTGAGCACCAGCACCATGTCAGCAATTTGATGTGCTCGCCAAAGAAGTAAAGGTATTCTTAAACACGCTGTGAAAGTGGAGTGTTTGAGACTGGAGGTGGGCAGCCTCAGTCTGCATGTTCATTCGTTGTCAGGGAAGGATGTGTGCAGTGCAGAGTTTTCCATTTTAAAAGGGACATAGACAAATGGAGTGTGTCTAGATAACCATGTCATTATATAGCTTAGAGAAGAGGACACTTAAATATTATTGAACTTTTCAGGTATTTGTAGGGCTGTCATATGAAAGAGTCATTTGACCTATTTTATGAGCTTTGGAGGGGTGAGTGGAGAAATTTTAGGAAAGATTTTGGTTCAGTAAAATTTGTAACATTTAAGAGCTTCACAGATGTCTGTAACAAATTTTCTTGATATTGGGGATATTTTTGGGTTATTGTAGTGGGAATTTTTATATTAGGTGATTAAAAAAATGGTTCTGAACTTTTAGTTCTCTTGACCACTGCTTGAGGTTGATGAAGGTAGTGTGGAGATGAGGGGACATCTGAGCAAGTGTTATCATGTAATGTTTGATAAAACAAAAGAATATATAGAACATATTAGTTATGAGGCATTCATATGTTTCATAAATGAACACCTGTGAACCCACTACTCAGGAAGGAACTAGAGCATTAGCCATACCTGTGACATGTTTCTGTAATATTTTGGCTATGATTATATCAACTTGATAGGATAGCATTATCAAAAGCTCTGATTATCAGGACTTACAGAATGAAAAGCTTTGGAGACGAAACTTTTTTTTTATTGATGTCATAATAGTTTATAACATTGTGAGATTCCAGTTGTATATTATTACTTGTTAGTCACCATATAAAGAGACAAAACTTTTTAAAACATGGGGTTATGGGGGAAAATAATAAATGGGGTTCTTGCATACTGAGGTGGAAACCGGTGGATTCAGTTAAGTTATTAAATAAGCAACCTCTAATTATATAAAGTACAGCCACAGAGAGTTTAAGTAAGAGACTTGTGTAAAATCAGACCAACAGTTAATGTTAGAACTAGAATCAGAACATGTTCTGACTTGAGTATTGTGAATAACATGCCAAGAAGTGCTAATGATTTCCTGGCTAGAAAGGTGCTGTTGATAAAGGTAATTCTCAGCTGGTTAGATTCCACAATGAATAAGACTGTAAATTCCTTGAGTACTAGAACTGTCTTAGTCATCTTTTCATTCCCATCAGTAGTGTCTTGTATGTAATTGGTGTTCTGTTATTGAGTGATATATCTTAGAGATTGAAAGAAACATGGTAGAAAGACTTTTTATCTTAAGAAAAGTAGAGTTTATAATTATATTATTTGTACTTTTGCTTCACGTAACTCGCCATTGTTAGAAAGCAAAGCAGAGTTTCTTTCCTCTTGACTTCTTTCTTGACCCTAATACCCTGCAGCAGAGTAGATTGCTCCTGCTTTTGTGCTACCATTATCTCTAATCTATACCTCCTACTGTTCTTATACCCTAGGTATCTATTTGTTTATGTAACTCTCATATTAGACTAAGTTCTTTGAGAGCTGGAACCATGACTAGTTTAACTTTAATCCCCTAGAACCTCGCTTGTTCTTCTCTTCATTCACCCACCTGTCTACCCAATCCACCAAGTATTGATTGAGGACCCACTGTGTTCCAGGCACTATTCTAAGAGCTGGGGATACAGCGGGTAACAGAATCTCATGGAACTTTCAGTTATTAATCAAAGAATCACACCAGTGTTTATAGAAACACAACTTAAGTGGTAAATGTATTTTTCCTTCAATTATATCATCTAATTGAATATATGAAGGTTATTGGGTTTTGTATATTTATATATATTTTTAATCAAGTCATCTTATCTGAATTTTCTTATTTATAATTGATTTTCTTGGTTTTTCTAAGTTGGATAAATTTGTTTACCTGGAAAATCTTTTCCCCTTCAGTCTGTTGTATTACTGTGTTTGCTTATAGATTTTTAAATATTGAACTATTCTTCCATTTACGGTATAAACTACACTTTGTCTTGGTGCATTGTTCTTTTAATATGCTGGCATAGCTTATTCATTTAGGATGTTTGTATCTATCTTTATAAGCAGATTTTACATATGCTATCATTGGGTTTTTATATCAGTGTTATTAACTTTATAACGAATTGGGCAATTTCTGAAGAGGAAATTTAAATGTAACAAATTAATATTGAAAGTGCTTTTATATAGAGACCTGGACTAAAGGATGTATGTGTAATTTTAATTAGATTAAAGTTTTCTAATGCCCTTTGGTTAATAGCTTGTAATTACGTGAATTATGTAAACAGTCCTTTATGTTTAAATTACTACTTGGTCATTGAAAACTTGATTTAATTGCTGTCATATGCTAATTTAAGATAAACACTAATTTGATACTGGGCATCTTTAGGAAAGATTTTCTTATGAAACTAAAAGTATAAAAAAGAACTTAAAGAATGAAGTCTGGGCCGGCCCCGTGGCTTAGCGGTTAAGTGCGTGCGCTCCGATGCTGGCAGCCCGGATTCGGATCCCGGGCGCGCACCAACGCACTGCTTCTCCGGCCATGCTGAGGCCGCATCCCACATACAGCAACTAGAAGGATGTGCAGCTGTGACATACAACTATCTACTGGGGCTTTGGGGGAAAAATAAATAAAAAAAAATAAAAAAAAAAAAAAAAAAAAGAATGAAGTCTTGCCCTTGTAATGTATTTAAATCCAAGGTACTTTCTTTTGATTTTTTAAAAATTTCATTTGCTATTTAGAGATAAACATTTGGTAAGCTTTGACAAGCAAATTGTTATTTAAGAAAGAAAATTTGTTATAAAATGAATATTGCCATCACTGAAGCTGAAAATGTATTATAGTGCAGTAGTTGCACTGGTTAAGACTTTATAACTGGATAAGAACACCTTTGATCATGCCTTTTTGCTGTGTTGGATTTTATTTAACTTTTGATTTAAATAACTAGTTAAGAAAATAAAAGTGTGCATTCATATTTGATAGTTCCTTAATAGCAATAGATTGAAATCCCATGTTTGGAAGGCATACAAAATACATTTTAAAAATAAAAGGCATTCTGTTTACTAACGGATACAAGCCTTTTCCCCGAGGAGAACATGATCTATAGCATGGAGAGATGGTTACAGAGTCATCCCCCTAATTTAATAATGACAACTCTTATTAGACAGCATGTTCCAGTGGGCAGGAGCCTATTCTCTAGCACATTGTGGAAGCTTAATAAAGAATTCTTGAAAGAATTAATTGATTTCTTTGTACAGGACTTGATCATTAAAATAGATTTTTCCATACTTTTTAAAGAAGTATATTTATACCTAGGATGTCATAATAGTTTTTTTTTAAAAGATCGTTGATTTAGTTATCTCTTCTTTTTTCTTTCTTCTATTTCATTCATTAACCGAGTGTAGTTTGATCTCCCTTACCATCTTTTCCTTGATACTTCTCTGATCACCAGTGGCTTAGTGGTGAAATCCAAGGTACCCTCTTTTGCTTTTTACCTTACCATACTTTTGTGGTATTTGACACTCCTGATCATCCTGTCCTTGAATCTGTCATTTTTTAGCTGCTTTGATACCTCTCTTCCCTAATTCTCCTATCTACCTCCATTTCTTCTTGGTTTGGATCTTCTTTTCCTCACCTCTTAAATGTTGCTTTTCCTGGGATTCATTCAGTCCTTCCTTTTCTCTATACCTTCTCTAAGACATCTCTTCTTCTATAGCTTTAACTACTAAATTTGTGTATCAGACGCAGACTTCTGCTCAACTTAAAATCTATGTATCTCTTGGACATCTCTGTTTGGACATTGCAAAAATGGTTAAAATATCTAACAAAGTGGTGCAGTTTAAATCTCATTCAGACAGATTAGTTCTGAAGTATGAGAGAGTCTTGGGTATTAATTTTGTCTGATAGGTATTCTTATGATAGTTATTTGACTGCTAGCCTCATTTAGGGACGGAGAAATTAGGTAAAGTATCAGGTCAGTTTCTTAGTGAATAAGAGCTTGGGCTCTGAAGTTAGTTTTAATAGAATATTATTTGGTTGGTATAAATTTGATCTCTGGTAGAAATTAATTAAGGCTATAGTTCTGTTAAACATAGACTTAATCAGGAGAATGACAGACTAGACCAACAATTCTTTACTTCTATGAGTTTTAACACTTTATCAATGAAATCTTCCCCTACCCTCTTATTTTTTTTTTCCTAAACTAGCAAGAATAATTTTTTGTCTAACACATTTAAAATTTTTACTTTTAACAGAAATTAGCAGAGTACGGAAAGACATGTACAATGACACATTAAATGGCAGTACAGAGAAAAGGAGTGCAGAATTGCCTGATGCTGTGGGACCTATTGTTCAGTTGCAAGAGAAACTTTATGTGCCTGTAAAAGAATACCCAGATGTAAGTATATTTTGTTGTTTTATTCAATTTCTTTTTTGCTTCACGTACTTTGGGAAGAGATGTATCTGGTGGTAAATACTTAAGCATTGTCAGCCGCTTTACAAAAACTTCATGTGAGGGACTAGAGGTGTGAATAATTTGGCATGAATAATTTAAAAAATTTCTTTCTAAATATGTTATCATTTGAATGCTGCTATACCACTTTTGCAAATGCACATGGTAAAGACTTAGTTTTAGATTTCAAATTGAGGCGAGAATTATGGAAAGAGCTTTGGCCTGAATGTCAAGAGAGCACCAAGCACAGCTCTCTGCTCGTCTTTACTTGACCTCTGAGAAGCCACAGCTTGGGCCAGGTTATCCTTTCAGTAAAATGAGAGTTTGGACTCTGTGACAGCTAGGATTCCTTTCAGCTCTAAAATTTTTTATAACCACTGTTTGTAATTTTTTTGTTTTGTTCATCTTAGTCCCTTGCTCAACTATTCTCTATAAGCAGCTTGTTGTGAGTAGCCTCCTTGTCCTGTACTAGGTAACTTATAAATAGCTCCAAACTCTTTGCCTTTTGTTACAAAGCCCTAAATGATATGATCCTTTCTGTCTGTCTGACCTCATCACAAATGATTTCTCTTCCTCAGTACACTGTAGTCACTTTGGCTCTTAGAATTAGTCAAGTCTGTTCCCAACCTAAGGACCGTTATGTTAGCTGTACACTGATCTCTACTGGCTGACTTCTTGTCATTATGATTATATTAGCTTAAATGTCACTTCTGATAGGCCTCCCCTGACCATTTTCTCTAAAAGCAATCTGGTTACTCATTGTTTCACATAAGTCTCTTTATTTCTCTGCAGTAGCATTTGTTAGCTGTTATTTTCCATGTTTATTTTTCTGTGTCTCTTCAGCAGAGTATAAGGTACTTAAATCAAGAAGCTGTTTTTCTTATTGACTGCTGTATTCCCACTGCGCATAATATTGGCGCACAATAGGCATCCAGTACCTATCAAATAAATAAAGGCAAATTGGTGGCTTTTTGCTAGGTTTCAGAGGACTTTTCTGAAAACAAATATAAGAAGGAGTTGGTATTTTAACATCAAAAATGTGATGTGTACTCTAAGATTCATTGATTATATTGACAGTATACTAGCCTGGAAATGGGAAATAATTGTCTTAAGTTGGATTAATGAGAAAAAGCTTTGATATTTCACAAGTTGCCTTTCCAATACAATTTTCTTTAAAACTCTAATATATTTACTTTTTTTATAAGTATTTTTTCTTGCAAATATACAAACAGTTCTGGATAACCTAGGCAAACAGAGTTTGTTGGAAGATAATTGGGTATAGTACACAGGATTAAAGGAATAGTTGGAGAACACACTTAAGACAGGAATCAGGGCAGCTCTGAGAACCTCAGCAGTAGGAGTTTGGATCTTCTCTGTTGAGAGCCATGCTCTTGACATAATTAGGTATCAATGCCTCTCAGACTTTATCTTCAAACTTCAGATTCTTAGGAGAGAGAATGTGTTTTGGACCAATCTGGCATGACTAAGACTGTGAGGTTAACCTACGTAACATAGACATGACCACTGTGGACCCACTCTGGGTGTTGGATGATTCCTAGAGATGGGAAATTGTGATTTGGGCAGCTCTCCCAGTTGGAGTCTCCTGCTGTTTGGTGTTTCAGTATCTCTTAAAGGATATCACCCTACTCATCTGCTTGTTTAAACTCTAAAGGATAAAGTTTCAGCACTAGTCATTAACATAGAATGCATAAGATGGTAAGACCTTGTTAGAGAATGTAACCTTGATCTGCCTGGTCCCCATTCTTCTTAAAAAAAAAAACACAACCCTATAGGGAAGAGATATTTATATTGCATTATTTAAAAGACATATGTACCATACAATCCTCTAAGTCAGAAGGGATGTAGTTTATGGTGTGGGTCAAGAGGGAGGCATATTCTTGTTCTTCTTCCGCCAGTTGAGATTTGTTGCCATGGTCAGCTGCTACTGCCCACAGGTGTTTGGGAGCATAACATTATCCAGGTCACTGGTCTTAAAATGTGGTTCCGGAACTATAGTATCCATACCTCCTCGGAGCTTGTAAATGTTCAAGCTCTACCTTAGACTAGTTGAATCAGAAACTCTATGCCGAGGCCTGACAATCTGCCTTCCAAGCCCTATAGATGATTCTGATGTATGCTAAAGTTTGAGAAGCGCTGCTCTCATTTGTGTATATGCTCCGAATAAGCTGGGCTGACAGGTCATCACGTATGGTCCTTTTGCCAGGCGTTGTTCCAGGAGGCAGGTCGAGTGGTGAACTAAACAGTGTCTCTGCTCTTGTGGAGCAGGCATTGCAGTGGCAGAGACAGACAATAAACAAATGAATATTTACTTTAGGTGCAGTCAGTGCTGTGGAAAAACAGATAAATGGTGACTGTGTTTATAGTCAAGGAATCTCTTAAAAGATGAAGGGAATGCAGAGAACTGAACGGAGCGATGGGAAGGAAGGCATGAAAATCATCTGGGGGAAAAACATTCCAGGCCAAGTGCACAGCAAGTGCGCTGAATCTGAGGCATGAGTGTGCTTGGGAAGTGTGGTGAGGTGCAAGATTAGACAGTTAGCAGAGGAGCCATATCATATAGGGACTCTTGGCCCCAGTAGGAATTTCAGATACTGTTTTGAGTGAAATGGGAAGCCTTTCAGATGTTTTGAGCCAGGAAGTGGCATGAGTTCAGTTGGGTTTTAATAGATTCATTCTGGCTGCTGTGTGGAGAGAGGCTTTGGGCAATGGTGGCAGCAGGGAGAACAGCTAGGGGGCAGATGAGGAACTTGAACAAGAGGGCTTAGAAATGTTTGGATCCTGCATAATTGTCAATTTATAGCCCATAGGGTTTAGTGATAGATTGGATAATGGAGTGTGAGGGAAAGTTAGGAATAGCTTAAAGGTTTTAATCAATTGGAGTAATAGAGTCGTTAATTCCTGAGGGAAGAGCAGGTTGGGGAGAGAGGGGTTCAGCAGTTCTGATCTTAGAAGTGTTGAGTTTTAAGTCAGACCTCCAGATGTGAGCATGCCAGATAACGTAGTTGGGTATATGAGTTGTGTGTGACTCTTGGCACCCAAAAATGTCTACTTTAACAACGCTTTTTTTTTTTCTTTTGAGGAAGATAGGCCCTGAGCTAACATCTGTTGCCAGTCTTCCTCCTTTTTTGCTCTTTTCTCCCCCCAAAGCCCCAGTGGATAGTTGTGTGTCGTAGTTGTACATCCTTCTAGTTGCTCCATGTGGGACGCTGCCTCAGCGTGGCTTGATGAGCAGTGCCTGTGTCCACACCCAGGATCTGAACCGGTGAACCCTGGGCCGCTGCAGCAGAGTGCACGAATTTAACCGTTACGCCACCGGGCTGGCCCCTAACAACACTTTTTAAATGAGAAACTAGTTGTAATTCATAGCAGGAGAGAAATAGATATAAAACCATTTTGGTCCTCCAGACGATATTTTTAGTACGTTGGTTTTAAATTTCTGTTAAAAGAATTTGTTTGGCAAAATTGGGATCTGTACATAGGTTTTGAGTTTGTCTTCTTTGAGGTTATTAATACATACCAAATGAGTAGTAACTGTTTTGTGGTGTATATTAAGAACTTTATCTCACCTTTTAAAAAAAATTAAATAGTATTAAAACAAAATAAAATCTGTGTCAGATTTTGGCAGTATGGGAAAAGATTTGTTTTAGAATTATGAATTAATTATTGGCCACAAAGAAATATATATGCATTCTTACTCTTGCTTTTTTTCGCTAAATATATCTTAGAGATCCTTACATATGGGGCTTCTCTGCCACCCTGCATTTGTATGAAAGCTTGATTTTGTGAGTGAATTCATCTTATTTGACTCGAAAATACTTTTATTATTATTAAAACTTCAGAGGGGCGGCGTAGCATAGTGGTCAAAAGTATGGACTTAGACCTAGACCCCTGCCTGGCTCTGCTGCTTGTTTTGTGACTTTGGGCAAATTACTTGTCATTTCTGGTCCTCAGTTTTATCATCTCTGTAATGGAGATGGTAAGTCTTGCACAGGTTTATGAGGAGTTCTGAGTGAGTTACTATATGTAAAGCACTTGGAAAATGCCTTTATGCTGTGTAGGTGTTACCAGAATGTGAGCTCCATGAGGGTGGGGATGTTGTCTGTTTTTATATTCTTGCTGCTTAGAATAGTGTCTGGTAAGTGGTAGAGGCACAATAAATATTTGTTGCGCAAATATTGGTAAACTTTTTTTTTTAACCTTGTCTTTTGCATTTGCACATAGCAACTTGTTTCTAGAAGTGTTAATTTGGAGGTATTGTTTTGGACTTGACTGTTTATAGCTCTGGAACTGATACGAGAAGAAGGTCTGCAATTCAGTGTTTGGGAAATGAGATGGTGCTGTATAATAGCCTTCACAATGTTTTTGAGTCAGTGACTTGATGTGGGAATGAGAAGGTAATATGAGTAGCCTATTGAAAATTTTACAAAATTCCTGTTAATGTTATATTTATTAATAAAGCAGATGTTTATTGTATCTCTACTGTATACCACACACATCCTGGGGATGGTGATATTAATTCAGCTGAGAAAACTCTTAGACATAGTCAAGATAATAGTGGGATTTTGAGCCAGACAAGCCTAGGTTTTGAATCCTGGCTTACCACCTTTACTGGCTGTGTTTGTCAACAACTGCCACAATAATACTGTATAATAAGCTACCCTAAAATTCAGTGGCTTAAAATAACAAGCATGGATTTCTGTGCTCTTTGGTCTGTACTGTATATTGGCTGAGGTTCTGCTGATCAGGCTGAGCTGAGGTTGATCTAGGCTGACTGCGGATGGGTTTAGATCTCTATTTATGTTCCTGCGGGGCCCAGCCCAAAGGGGCAGCAGCTCCTTGGAGCATGCTCTTCTCATGGCAGGTCACTGGAGTGCCAGAGCCAAGCCAGATTGCTTAAGCACGTGTAAGGCCTCTGCTCTTGTCCT